AGCATTTCAATGGCTTGACCATGTATCCAGTCCTTAATGTGTTCTTAGGTATGTTTTAAAAGTCCTTATAGTTATCTGCTAATGTGACGAGGCTGAACACGAGCTGCTTTACATTGCTTATCATATTCCTAGTATGCTAACTTCAATTCAGATGACTCAGGCTTTCGGCAATTTGCACTTTTTCTGATTGGTGAAATGCTGAAATATCAAAACTTATACTATTTTTTTGGTTAGTGATGGGCCTTCAGTCATTGCTTCTAACTATAAATAAAATGTTTAATTAAGATCATGGCAGATACTTGTTTAAATTTTAAAAGTGATTCCACAGAAATTGTTAGAAATGAAAATAGTCAAAAATTATAATAATGATTTCATCTTGATGCAATGGTATTCCCTAGTAAGCCTAAATATCTAATAAATAATATTCTCTGAAATCATTCTTTACACATATGGTGAAACTAATGTTTGGTGCAAAGTGGTTGCTGATGCAGTTATTTCAGTACAAATAACTGATGTTGGTTAAGTAAATGCTGTCAGATTGATTGATGCTCAACATCTTTTTTTCCTCTAGCTTCAATACATTTAGCATTTCATTTCTAAGGTTCTGATATTTAATATGACTGATTCTTAAGTGTATTATGCTTATCATAGTATTATTTGTAGTGATATTTCATATAAACAACTTCAGAAAAATTCAAAATTATTATAAATAAAATATAAATATTAACCATAAAATGTAAATAGTAAAGATATTTTAAATTTCTTTCCATATAAGGAATTACTTTTTTCTCGATTACAATGTTCTAAATCGATAATCGTGCCAAAGATGATCATAATATATAGAAATTACCTCCTTTTTATATTAGTACATTTGTTTATACTTTTTCTGAACCATCAGTAGAAAAGAGGTCAGTTTTTCAGAACACTTGGGAGTTGACTACCTAAGTTAGTTATTTTGCAAGGCCAGGATATCCAGACAAGGGCATGGACACTGAAGTCTCTGTTTATTTCTGACATGGATTCTTTGCTAACATGTGCCTGTAAAACTCATATAGATAAGAAGGCAGCAGGAAAAACAGTGCAGTTTGTAGAAGCTAAGGCAAGATGTAGCATTCTCATTTTGGGATAGAAATTAGATGAGAATACTGATCTTATAATGAAATATTGACAAATATAGCTTTTCCAGTGCTTAAAGTCATTCACAAGCATAAATGGTACTATGATACCATTATACATATCATGAGGACACAGGAAAACTGTCTGAAGAAGTTACACAATATTGATTAAATTTCAAATATTAGCTATTTCTATTTGACAACCATATGCAGAAATAACTCCAGGGTTGTCGTTATGCTTTTGTTTATCTTTATTGAAGTAAAAGTTAGAGATATCTTTTTCTTACATGATAGGCCACCTCAGTGCACAATGAGTCTGCCAAAATGTCATGCAGTCATTTTAACTTGAGAATCACATTGGGTTGAAAAGGAAGCAAAGATATAGAGAATGTTGACCATGAAAAAACTTTTGTTGAATTAGACATGAACACAGTAAGTTCATAGGACAATTATATAGATACTATTTTCTTGTTTTCAAAAAAATTTCTGTAAGGCATATTACAGACACATCTATGTGTATCACACAAAAGAATCCAACTATTCATTCTTGTACACAAAACCAATTAAATTATCCAGGTGTAATATTTCATTCTTAAAGAAAAAATAAAAATAATTAAGAACATAATATATTTGAAATACTAGAGCAAAATGTATTAAAGTTGTTTACAAAATGGTTGATATTCATTAATACTTTAGAGTTGCCAAAGACTTCATATATTGACTTTTATGTGTTATTAAATTTTTACTGAATATCTAGCATGTTCTAAATTCCACAGTTACAATAACAAAATGTGTATTAAGGTTAGCACTCATTTTACCTACTCTTAAAATCCTTTATTTAACCAAGACAGCATACAATTTTCAGGTACCTTTCCTTGATTGATATTATCTCAAGAGGCATGATATGTTCAGTGATTAGACTCATCTTGTCTCTATGTTCTAGTTACTCTGATCAATCTGCAATATTTTTTTGTAGATGAGAAAAAAATCATCAAGAGGCGATACAAGTAATTGAATAAGGCTTTTTACAGAGCACACTGTGCTTCAGAAGAAGGCCAAGTGCTTCTTCTACATTCTGATTGCATTTTAAACTTCTTAAATTTTCCATCATTAATTAGTCACAATAGACCTTTCATCCTAGTTTTACAGTAAAAGTGGCTGTATTACTTCTAAGCAATTGCCAAAATCCTAAATGTGAGACTTGAAAAAAAACCTCAGACTTTGTAATATTATTTATTCCAGGTTTTTAATTTTGTACGTACAGAAAATAAAATCACAGAGGTACCTAAGGTTATAAAGTAGACTCCATTTTTCTTGCCCCATTATTATTATGCTCTCTTTCCCCATATTCAGTGGATACCCTTGATTAATTTAAATCAACTTCAGTTTCAATCCAGTGTTTGGTTTATCAAAAATAATGTCTTTCGATAGTAATTAAAAGCTTCCACCAACAAGTGATCAGTCATGATCACTTTAGATTCGTGAGTGTATGGTGCCCTGACATCAAATCTCTCTTTTTAGAATGTTTTCTTTTAGGATAACAGGTATCTAAATAATTTTACTATTGATAACATTGAAAGAAAAAATAACATCAGTTCACTAACAACCTTCAATGTTCTGATAATTTTTCTTACGCAGAATTTAATTATGACAACAATAACTCTACTAGCTATTTTTATTCACATTTGCACATGCCAAGGATTATTCTTACCATTTTCTAATTCCTTGCATTAATCGAAGATGCTATTGTTATTATTATGAAAGACAATTATTTTCATCATGTAGGTTAATGTGCGTGAGGCTTAAACTCAGAGTTTATCTAGTTTCTTCTAATTTTTGTTATCAATTACCATGCAACTTAAACTTTTAAACTTATTTATTGTTAAGTTTAATATGGATATATCAGAGGTAAACACCCTTACCACCCAAGTTCTGAATTCCAAAAATAATTTGCTGTTAATGCTTATTATTATAAAAGTTGGATATATTTTTTTGTGCTAAAATAATGTCACAAAACCCTCTTAGACATATCATAATCTATGTAATATAATTTGGTTACCTTGCATTTATTTCTTTTTGTCCTAAGGAGAAATCTGGTTTTAATAAAAATGTAATTCCTCTGAAGAAATGAGAGCTGAGAAACTGGAACTCTTCCTTCTTTGTGCCCATATGATTACTTTGATCACAACATCGTCCTGATGCCTAGAAATCCTGTCAGCTGCTAGGTTCTGGAAAGGCAGACTTGCTTACCCACTCTCACTGCACACTTGTGCTTTCATGAATATTCCTGCTAATCCACTATGTTTGAAACACATAATAAATCACAGAGTAGTTTTAATCCACTCTGTTGCATATTAGCCTTCCTGTCTCTTTGTGTTTTCGTACCTTATTTCACCCATCCTCTTTGTCCCCTCGGGTTTCTATGTAACTTTGCCTTCAGTCATTGGATTTGGGGGTCTTGAATTTACTGCAGGTTATAGGTCCTATAGTTAATAGAAGTACCTAATTTTGTTTGTTTACCAGAATGCTTTATATTCTATCATTCTGAAATACTCTATGGAATACCAAAACTTTATCGAAATAATTTTTAAAGTTATATGATAGTTATTACAGAGCTAATGGCCAGGTGGATTTGTTTCTTCTTCAACTTGTGAACTGGTTTGCTGTCTAAAGTATTTGTCTATTGATTGATATACATGTTTGTTATTGTGTATATAGTTAAAAATATGAAAGATGGAAAAACTTCTAAGGAAAAAACTGTTTTTGCTTTATCATATAGGGAACTTTTGGCTTTATATTATTGATATGTTATCTACTCTCAAAGCACTCATACATACAACATACACACAGATATACCCGGAGAGAGAGAAAGAAAGAGAGGGTGGAGAAAACCTTCTATATTTATACTATTGTTGATTTTATTATAGAAAGTAAAGTTTATCTGAAGAGTACAACATAGTGATTTAAGTGAGACTCTTGTAATGAATTCTTATCCCTCTGTGGTTTGGGGTTGTATAAGGAAGTTTGTTTTGTAGCTAATTTTGTATCTCTTGCATTATTAGGGTTCCGTGCCTGCAGTAAATAGAAACCAGAGTAAGGTTTTTTTTTTTCTTTTTTTCGCATGCGGTTTCTGAATGGTTGCAAGCCAAAAATCAATAAGCTTCACAAACACAGTTGTTTTCTTTCCTATTTATTGTGTATTATAAGTCAATTCTGTTTCTCTTTATGGAGGAAGGCCACTATTCAGAAGTCATAAAATACAGCATTTAATAAAGATTCATGGAGAAGCAAATGACCGAGCGTGTTGCACAGTGCACATGATAATAAGTTTGAAGGGCAGAAAATGGAAGGCACTGAGCTTTTCAGGTGATCACAATCAAATCCGAGCACATCAAAACAGCTGGTGTTCTGTGACTCAGAATCAATCAGTCAGTTTGAACCACCGTGTACTTTATTTCTCTTCACTGTTTCACTAGAGAGAGTTAAACTAACATATAGACTTCCCTTTTGCTTGAACTCCTCTTCTGAGATAATTAGTTTTTACATACCAATAATAATGAATGCAAAAAATTATAAAGAGGCTAACTTTAGAATTATATTTTAAAACGACATTCTACATTTATTTGTGTAGAGTAAAACATATGAATAAATGCAATGCCCTAAAAGAATTGTGGAAATTGTGCTGTGGAACAAAGATAATTCTACAAATGGCAGAATTAGGTAATTTATAAGTGTGGATGCTATTACTGTTATTTTCTAAGTGTATGTATTAATAGTTTAGTGATAATCCAAATGCTATTTGGGGAATTCAGTACAGTTCACAACTAAATGTTTAGCAATATTACATGTTCTAGCTTCTGACACAAGCTTTTGTGTTTGTTCTAGGTACCTATTACACCATTGCTTGGCAAGGGCTACTCAGCACTGCTTACCTCTTCCAGTGTAACACTCTACAGATTGTTATCTCTGGATTCCGAGCTGACACACCGCTGGAGGCAAAAGCTACGAGGCCAGCTAGAACTGTGCCTTTTCTCTTTTCAAGATTTTTTTCTTACATAGCAAAAAGGAAGAAAAAAAAAAGATGAAGCTGGGCAAAGTAGAGTTGTGCCATTTTCTACAGCTTGTAGGTCTCTTCCTATGTTTCTCTGGGACGAGTCAAGCTGAGCAGCCAAGGTCCAGGTCCGAGCTGTATTTTCAGTCAGGGAGGTCCCGAACGAAGCGCAGCTGGGTCTGGAACCAGTTCTTCGTGCTGGAAGAATACATGGGCTCTGATCCCCTCTATGTAGGCAAGGTAGGGCATTTGGCCTTTCAAAGTTCAAAATGGTTACTGTCAATATCTTTGATTAGATGAAGAGTTGCCCATTTGTATTTAGTGACAAAAGTACAAAATGTTCCTCTCTGAGTTTATGATGTTTCTTTCATTACCTACTGTGTCAGGTGGGATAGTGAGGCTATAGCTTAAGGAGTGATACTCTTGTAAATCTTCGAGGCCTGGTTTACCACTATCGGAATGTGCTGCTAAACTCTTATTTCCATAATTAGAATAAGATGACCCACTAATGATGAAGTGAAATGGTTCTTCAACCAGTTAGTATTGAAAGGTTTTTGCCAGTGTATAATAATTGGATACAATGAGTTTCAGTATGAAATTGTCATTCATGTATATAATGAATTTTGACCATATTTAAAGCAACATCTAGTACTCTCAAGAAATTCCTTCTTTCTACTTCTATTGATAACCTTTGCTTTCCTAGTTAGTCCCCCAACTACTTTCGTGGTTATTGTTTGCTGTGTTTTTTTATTTTTTGTTTATTAGTTTTGCTTTGTTTTATTGTTGTAATCCACCAAGTTTCATCAGGGTTACCCACAAGAGCAAGGGTGATGAGAAGTTGTAGAGTTATTTACAATAATATCCTCAACTTACCAGTATCTACGCCATGGAAGAGAGCACCTACTCCTCTCTCGAAACATTTCAGTTGATTCTCTAGTAGCTATTTTTGTGATGCCTTATCAATTATGCCTACATTTATACTTATGTATCTTTACCCATTCTTAGCATTACAGATTGTAATATGAAATATTTTGACATCATTGTTTCAATTATAAGCAGTTCAAATCCAAGTTCTTAGTTATCTTCTTTCCATAAAACTGCTACTTTTTTTTTTGCTTTTCAGAATGTCCTTTTTAAATATGAGTGTGAATCAAATTCAATTTGAGATGCTATTAGAAAAATGATCAGCAGTCCATAGTATTTGTATTGGTGCAAATTTTGTTTTTACTTTTCTTTTCTTTTTTTTTGTCAAAAGTCAAACATTGGTCAAATGTTCCTTTGAGAATTCAGAGACCTAAAGGGCTTATCACAAGAACATGTCCTGATGCTCACTTTTCTTAGACCTTCTTCTCAGGCTTTTCATAGTTTAAGATGTCCTAAGTTCCTCAGTGTGGCAGTCAGCACTAGTAAAAGATTTCTGAATAGGATAGATCAGTAATTAAACTAAACAGCTGTATATTTTCCTTCAATCTCACTAGTTTTAAGCATATATTCCTCATAAAATGTAGCATAGTTTACTGAGAAATCAGAACTTTTTTCTCTTGAATGATCAAAAAAGATTATTAGATATTTTATGTTGATGATTTTTTTACATGAATAAGTTAAACTATTTTCAAAAAGTATTGAGTACTTGTTTAGTTCAAGGAAATGTTTTTGATATTTCTCATTTCTTTATAATGTTTAGGATTCTGATTGAATATCTATGGCAAAAAAAAAATATGTAAATTGTTAATGTGGATCAGGACTCAGTTTGGACCAGGAACTTCCATTTTCCTTAAGTAAAAATGTATAGACAGTGCCGGGGGGAGGGGAGGGAGACACAACTTTAATCCTAGCATCCTAGCACTCAGGAGGCAGAGGTAGGCAGATCTCTCTGAATTCAAAGCCAGCCTGATCTACAGAGTGCGTTCCAGGACAACCTTCAAAGATACAGAGAAATCTAGTCTCGAAAACCAAAAAAGAAAAAAAAGTATGTAAATATTAAGGAATATATACTACACTAATTTGCTTGTGCAACTATTAAAATCATTAATGCTTTATATGTGACAAAATTTCTCGTAATCTCTTTTAACTTGTTTCACTGCACACAAATGATACTGGCAAAATCACATGCCACAAAGCAATGACACCAAACAATAATGTGAATTTGATCCCACAAAGCATCTGGTGACAGAAAGAAACTAAACCCTGAAAGAAATACTCTGAATATCTACCACCCATGCATCCAACCATAGGTCACTAATTAATAAATAAAAATGTTACCAACTGTGCATCCTAATAGGGTCACTAATCAATAAAAATAATGTTACCACCCATTCATTTTAATATGAATCACTAATTAATAATTAATTAAAAATTAAAACGTTAGAAAATTAAAAAATAGTGAAAATAGTAAATATAATCCAAGGTTTTGACCAAGAATCTATCATTTTATGCTATTTAACATATAAATTAAACTTTCTTTAGTCTTTCTTAAATAGATCATGATATTCAAATCATTTACAACCAGAATGTGTTCCACAAAACTATGTTTTGTTACCATATGTAGATACTTTTAGAAACAACAAGAATATTCCTCATACCTTTATTTAAAACCAAATTATCAGGGCCCAGTTGACATTTTTAAATTGGCAACATTATACAATTCTAGCTGTAACACTAAAAAAATCAATTTAAATTACAAAAATATGTGTTGTAGGTTGTTCTCATTACAAAGGTGGATTAGCTTATTTTTCAATACTATGTTTACATCCTAAGGCAAATGTTACTATTTCTAGACATGATTGTGTACGTCTTCAATCCCACTTGGCATGTAGAGAAGTTCAGTGTTATCCTTATTGTTGACTGCACAATAACTGAATGTTAGCTTGGGCTACACAATAGTCTGTATTGAATAATTAAAAAACTAAAAGTTGGAGAAATGGGGAACTTTTAGATATGGATTGGATTGCAGACACGCATATAGTTTTGGATGATAATTTCCTAATCAGTCTATGCTGATAAAAATGATTGAATGATCTTATTAACTTTGATGTCTGTGCTTATTGACATTCTGTTTTTAGCAACAGAAGAAACAAAAAGTAAGAGTATTGTAGAGTCTACCCTGGTGTTGTTTTTATATTCTGTTTCCATTGAGGTTTTAAATCTAGAAGAAATGATATAAAATGAAATGTTGATTAGATCTCTATGTAAATTACACTGTCATTATTTGACATGGTCTATGTGGTTATCCTATTGACACAGGTCCAGTGATCTTACTGCTATTTCTGTGTCTTACTGAGATAATTACATAATTACATAAGGATAAAGCACACAACTTCTCCCAGATCATTTCTACCTCCCCACTCACTCAGTTCCATTCCTTTAGTCTCTCCATCTTTAGAAAACAGGAAATAAATCAGAAGAATTTCAAGATGTTATTCTCATGCACATGCAGGGACAGGGCAGGTAAAGGAGAGGTGGGGACAAGGAGAAGGGAAGAGAGAGAGAAAAAGATCCAAAACCCCAAAAGTACAAAATTGGAAACTGCAATATACAAGCAAGACCCAATATATCAGCAAGACAAAGAATGTCCAAAATGAAACAAAAAGTATAGAAGAATTCCACTGAGTTGATTTTGTGTTAGCCATCCAGTATTGGACACAGGGCTTAGTCTTGGTTCTATAGTTAATATACCCAGTGAGAATCCATTAATGGAATGTACTTTTTCATTTGCAAAAATATATCAGTTGGTCATAGTTTCTAAGTTAGGGATCAAAGCTCATTTTTCCATCTAGTGTTGGGACACTGGCTGTCCTGAACATACTATACATTATAAATCTTTACAAGTAACCTGCTAGAATATCACATAATACAAACCCGCCTCATTTCTCTTTTCAGTGAATACAGGGAAGGGACATACTTTAGGCAGTAGTACCAGTTACCATGCGAGGAGGTATTGCATGATTATCTGGCTTATTCATAGTGAAGTTGACTTGACTGTTTGCGTAAGGGGTTTTCTGACAGTTTCTTTGATTGGAAAGGAATATAAAAATTCACATATTGAAATTTTAAAATCTCAAAACAGGTTTAAAGTATTCTAAATGGGCATTTTTAAACAACAGTATATAGATAAGAATAAACATGTCAGTCAATTTGGTGAAGACACAAAATGTTTTTTGATATCGTTTTATCATAATTTTTAAAGTATACATTGTATTCATCTGAAATGTGGGTCTCATTTAAATCCACAACGCTGTGATCAAGGTCACTAACTGTAGTAATAATCTTGTTTCTTAAATGCACTATAGCTCAGAACATAATAAGAAAAATTAATTCTAAAATATAGTATTGTTTATAAAATGTCTGTTTTTCAAATGATCTAAAATTAAATTATCATTTTGTTACATAAAAACATAAAGAACTGTGACATAGTAAGGTTGATTTACAAATACATAACCACTATATTTGTAAGTAAAAGTTTATTCAGAAAATGATGTCTTTAGAATTCTATAAGATAAGGAAACATTCAAAAATATAATATTTTAATATTTTTTTATTTTGTTTAATACACACACACATATATACATATATGTATATATATTTGCTTTTTCAAAGCAGCATTTCTCTATAGCTTTGGAGCCTATCCTAGAACTCACTGTATAGACCCAGGTGGCCTCAAATTCATAGAGATTTGCCTGTTTTTGCCTTCCAAGTGTTGGAACTAAAGGTATATACCACCCTTACCCACCTAAATACACAACTTTTATATAATTATATCAGTGTTAAAAAGACTGACATTTAACAGTTCTTTCTAACTTTCTCAGAGTATGACTGAGTTCATAGTCAATAATGAGTACACCTTCAAAAAGTCTTGGGTTGTATCAAAATTACATTAGAAAGTTAAAATAGATAGCAGATAGCTGTGGAATTAAGACAAGTAGGAATAGAATTTAAGCCTATATCTGAGAAGAATTAGAAAGATTACCCTATGCTTACATGAAATAATGTCCTTATTTTTATTTTTGCAAGCAATTTGACCTAACAAAAGTCATTTTTTAAGAACTCATCATTTTCATTTCTTTAACCTGCCATAAGAAAATATTAGGCTAAATTGTTTGAACAAGAGTGTGTGTTTGTATAGTCCACATGCTTCTGGAGGCCAAAAAATTAAGGTCAAAGCACCAACAGAGCCATTGTTTGGATACAACTCATTCCTTATGTGCATACAGTAACCTTCCCCCTGAATTTCACAAGAGAGA